AATAAATAGGTCACGATTGTATTAATTTAAAATTTATTAATCACATTCAATTGATAATATTATGTTAAAGTCTGTCTCGCCTTTCATTTTTAGTGAAATGCGTTTCATTATGTTTCCAAACTACAACGAATTATAATTAAATTCGCGTTACAACAAATTTATTATTATATTTTCTTATTATCATGTGTCCCTGGGAAATTGAAATTAGCCAATCAAGTATAGGGGTGTATTTGGGTGAAAATTCCTTTTAATCGGCTAATTTCGACATGATAACATGTTTTATTTTCGAGATATTTCTAAACTGAATGTCCAGCAAATCTACCCCACCCTTAGGTGGACATAGTATCATAACATGTTGATTTTTAAGAGGAAATCTCTCATTCCATTATAAACATAATTGTTTGAATAGATTGAAATAGTGGGTGGTCATCAAAAAGAGCACCTTCCACAATACCAATTGCTGTAACTGTGTGAGCATTATATACAGGGCTTCTGCTATTCCATACATTCGCCCCAACAGTATTTACTTTATAAAATTCCTTAGAGATAATTCAATAATATCACAATTAACCCCACTTACAATACTACTTACACAAACAGGCAAACCAATATGTAAAACAGGGACACTATTCATAGAAACAACAGGTCCTGATTCAGCAGCTGTTGTCTTCCAAGGCTGTATAGTCCATTTTGTACCTTCATCTTTATCTATCTCATAATTTCGTAATCAAGTCCAGAGTGAGCTGGACCCAGAGTACCACTTTCAAAATCATATACACCCCTAATAATAAATTATTTCCCTTGTCACCATCAGTATTAAAAGAGTATTACTAATACTATCGTGTGCTGAAATTCCGGTTATATATCTTGTATCTCCAGTTGAAGAGATTGGTCAATCTTGTCACTGGCATGTACATCCTCTGGATATATTGTTATTAGCATAATTTTTTACTAAATCATATTTATCTTGCATTATATGTATCAATGATAATTTTGTTAGCAACAATATTTATACCAAACCTGTTCTTGTGTAAATCACATTATCAGATATCTGTTTAATTGATTCCAAGAATAACAGTAACAAACCCTTCTTTGCTTTTCGAGCTAAGTGTGTAGAAAACAATGCATTTTACATAACAAACAATAAAATATGTGTTTCACATATCCTTGCCAGCTTGCTTATTATTACTCTTGAAGATAAGCAGTATAATGTTCTGTCTGATCAAAGGGTTTATATACTTTTTTTCGAAAGCAAACGGATTTCTTTTATTTTTAATTGGCAAAGTTCCAGAAAATATTGAAACATGTAATTTTATATGCGTAATCTTGGGAACTTAAGCTGCAAGCTGATATAGGTTTTTGTATAATTATTGTTTACGTTTTTGCGTTAAAATATTATGACTTTGTTACACACTATATATTGAATAGTAGTAGTAAGGTTTAATCACCATGGGATAAAATCAGGGTATTTTCAACTGCATTTATCTGATCAAAGTGATGTTCCTGATCTATATAGTGAGTACGTTGTACACTCACCTGCCAAAAGTATCCGGATACTTTTGGCAGGTGAGTGTAAACTTTGTAGCTCTCCAAGTTCGGTCACGTTTCCTTTCTTCAGTCCCATCGCTGGGTAATAAAAATGCCATACACTTCATATTCTTTACTTTTCAAGATAAAATATTTATATGATCTTAGTCTATGTCGAAAGCTTGTCTCAATATTTGTACTAAATGTTTCGGATTCTCAATGTTCTTGCTATTTGATTTTTTATTTCAGATTAAATAATTTCAGTTTAAGAAATTAACTTCGGCGATGAGTAATTCGGCTAACATCAATAACTTCATAGTAGTTAAAAAATGATTAATCTTGTCCTCTGTAATCAAATATCAAATGTTACAACATACCCGCAACTTTACATATTAAATAAAAACTATTACTATACATAGTATTGTAACATAATTACGATGCAGTCAGACCAATTTTCTATTTATATTGTTTCATTTTTAAAAACATCATTATTATAAAACATTTGATATGGTATCTTTAAACATAGATTTACATGTAGCTTGGTAATGTCCATTACCAAGATGGTTACCACATGTAAAATATTCTGAAATACGCGTGAAATTCAAATTAGCCAATCAGAATTTTGTATTTAACCACCCCAAAGTTTAATCAATATTAATAAATTTCAAATTGACGTATTTTGGACCAAGTTTGTTTTTGTTATTAGTAACAAAATCCATCTTTAATTATTATAAGAAAAAAAATATGAGAAATGGTATAAAACTCTTGAGAAAAGAAATTGATAACTAGAAAAATAAGGATTGTGATCTACTTTTTATTTGAATGTAACATTACTATTACATAAATATTTATAACAAGTATTGCGGTTAGTTGCAATATCGTAAATTCCGACTTTCCAAGTTGTATTTGTTGCAACACTGTAATGCCGTAATTTTACATTACGGGTGCTAACTTTAACCATAATGTTTGATGGGCTATATAATTGAACTAAAATCTTTGATCAATTATTATATCAACAAGAGGATGTTTACTTAAAATCTCTTCACACTGTTTCGTTTTTAATTAAAGATTATGACTTGACACTTTCTTTCTATCTGTAACACGCATTTTGTGTATTGCAATATGTAAAATAGGATTTAGTGTGACTTCTATCTATATGTGTTATCAATGGTCTTCTCGTAATTACATATTTTCAAAATGAGTGGGGAAAATATAAAAGTAGTTGTCAGATGTCGTCCTTTAAATTCAAGAGGTAAGAAAATAAACTCTCATCATAAAACTGTTATCTTTCGTTGATGAATTGATATGCTAGAATAAAAATTATCATTTAAAAGAATAATCTTCAAGTATAATTACGATTAAAAAAACTTTTTTTTTAATAGAAATTGCTCGAGGGGCAAAATGCCTCATCAGAATGGAGGGGAATCAAACTATTATTACCAAACCTCATGATACTGATGATGTTAAAGCATTTACTTTTTATAAGTCTTACTGGTCTTTTGACAAAAGGGATCCAACTTATGCTACTCAATCAATGTTATATGATGATCTTGGGGAA